CAGTCTATCTTAGTGCTCATATAAATCATGGATTTCTGGGTGGCAGTTGAGAGCCTCTGTGCCTGTCTTTGACCTGCCTTTTCACATCCTCTTAAAAATTGCCTTTCTTCACATGAATATTGTAGGTTTCTAAATACCCTTTTTTGGGGGGTGGTAATGGTGGTATACTTCTCCCTACAATTACTCCGTATTAGAGAATTAGGAGTAAGACTTGAAGATAACTTGAGTATCTCCTTTGTGACATCAATGGTAATTGAGCTTATTAAAACCTTTCCCATGAGAGCCAAACATTACCTGTGTTTAACAGGAAGGCCGAGAGTTGAGATTCATGTTTTATAGGGAATTTTCTCTTTGTTTCTGACTGTTAAGCACAAGAGTGTGTGTGTGTGTGTGTGTGTGTGTGTGTGTGTGTGTGTGTAAGGGGGCTAAATGACCTGCTTTAAAAAGATTAAACATTTATTTGTACTAAATAGTACACTAAAAATATGTCAGTACGATATATGTCACACGTAGCTAGTGGGCTGACATTGTTTCATTACCAAGGTGAGTTCTGGCCTCTTTTCAGGATGGTTTCTATGTACATGGTGAGATGCAGACTATGTGTTGGTATAGGGACGATGGCAACCCTTGTCTTTCTCCGGGAAATAATAAATGCCCTGTAACTCTGACTCAAGACCTATTCTTATGTTAATTTTTTGTCAATATTTTATGTTTGGTGAGTCAGACTCCTGTAGAGTGTTATTGAGGACTAGTGTAACTTTGGTTATAATCGCTTTAAATTATAGATCTCTTTTCTAAGTAATGATTTTTGCCACTTTCATAATCTTTAATAGGCCAACTACAAGAACACTTTTAAAAATTTATTTATTTATTTATTTATTTATTTATTTGTTACCGGAGATCGAACTCCAGTCCTTGCACTTGCACACCAGGCGGCAAAACCACTGAGCTAAATCCCTGGCCCGAAGAACACTTTTTTGATCAGTAAGGACCTTGGTCCATTGCTTCATGAGCGCTGAATACCCAAAAATTAGCCTTTTTTTTTTTTTTTAATACCGGTGATCGAACTCGGGACCTTGCCTTGCAAGGCAGGCAGCAGCACCACTGAGCTAAATCCCTGGCTAAAATTAGCCTTACCGGCAAACTATGTACATGTCCATGCTGACAGGGTATCAGTACTTTCTAGCTGGGTGAGCAGGTCTTGCTATGTCAGGATAGTTAATGATGGGGTGTCACAAAGCCTTCAGAGTGAGGACAACTTGTCTAACATCTGCCATGGTGATCCTGTGCACATGCACTCTTGTCTGTGTGCACACACACCTAAATTATATAAATATGTATATACTTCAGTATGATGTTACTGCTCAAAAGTACTAGTTGATTTCCTGTTTTGAGGGCTTAATTTCAAAGATACTAACTGGAAATAAAGTTTCTGAACAGTTCCATGAAGCCTGGGTTTGTAAAGATCATAAGGTCTGACACTACTGGTGACTGTGATGACCAGAGGGTCTTCTGTAGCACGATACACAATTTTGAGGGTTGGAGGCAGTTTGTAGTTGGTAACTAATTTAGCAGGCCTTTTATTGTAAAAATGAGTTGGCAGGATTCCTAGTAAAGTTCTTTTTTCTTAAGGGTAGAAGAGAGGACTTAGAGGGATCAGAGTGTTGGTTGATAGCACTAGAGAACATTTTATTTGTGCTCCACAGTCATAGATGCAAGACATATGGCTTTGGATCTGCTGTCTCTTCTCTTGCCTGGTGGAGCGTTTCTCTTCAGTCTTTACTGAAGCTTTTTTAAAAAGTGTATTTTTCATTGTGGTTTAAAAAAAGTAACAATCTTAACCATTGAAAAGGTGTATACTTCAGCAGTGTTAGCTGTAGGCACACTGTGCAGCAGATCTCTACAACTTTTTCATCTTGCAAAACTGAAGTTCGATGGCCACTAAATACTGTAATAACTCCGTTTTCCCCTATCCATAGCTCTTGGCAGCCTCCATTTACTTTCTGTTTCTAGAAGTTTGACCTCTCTAGGTACTTCATAAATGTGGAAAATCATGGAATCTTTTCCTGAAGGGGAAAAGATAAATTTTGCATGTTTCACTTAGCATAATATCCAGAAGGTTCATCCAGCTGGGTGTGGTGATACACACCTCACCTGTCATTAAAATCTGGTTGTGATGAATGAATTCATTTGTCAAATATTTTTTTAAATGCCTCTGAGTAGGCTGTTCCCTCAGGATATCATAAGAATAATAAAGGGAAGCCAGATATGATGGCAAGTGCCTATAATCCCAGCTATTTGGGAGGCTATGACAGTAGGACTGGAAGTTCAAGTTCAGCTTGGGCAACAAAGTGAGACTGTATCTAAAAAATAAAAAACAAACCATACAGAATAATAAAGAAATCAATGCAGAAAACTTGAGAGAAAGGGTCTTTGAACAACAGTCTTTTGGGGCTGCCTGTGCTTAGTTCTGTGTTAGTCTAGGAGGATGATTGAAGCTTCCAGTCCTCCCATTCCCACTGAGCTGGTACAAGTTGAGCATCAGAGGAAGAAAGATATGGGTCATCTACCATTAGTGCAAGTCTTGTTGGCTCCCCCACGGTGTTAGATGCTGGATGATACATGGGAGAAGGGATTAGGATGAGTTTTCTGGGATTTTCAGCCCTAAGCCTAATTCACTAATAGAAGCATAAGGAATATATGCCATTGCCTTTGCTCTTGGTTCTGTACACCTTCAGGTTTACCGTAAAAGTTGAAAGAGGAAGCCGGAATTCAGAAAGTATCCTTTGTAATCTAATCTAATCTCTAACCAGTTGCTTGCTTTGTATCTCTGGGCCCTCCGTGCCTCATTTTCTTATCTATAAATGAGATGGTTGGCTTAGGTAAATTTTGAAAAGGAATATTTATTTATTTATTTACTTACTTACTTTTGGAGACAAGGTTTCCCTATGTATTGTAGTTCATGCTGGCCTTAAACTCATAGTGATCCTCCTGCCTCAGCCTCCCAAGTGCTGGGATTACAGGTATGAATCATCACATCCAGTTTGAACAGGAACTTCTGATACTTGTTCAGCATTCTAGCTGTCATTTCCTAAACCTGAAAGATTATAGACTAGGGGTGTTACCTAAGATGGAAGAGGCTCTACAGTTCACCCTGTTGGGCTACCCTGAGATTTCCATCCTGGGGCAAAATACCCAACACCTGAAACTTAAAGATAGACAGGTTTATTTTTGCCTCAGTTTCATGGTTGGCTGCCTCCAAGGCATAAACAGCATTGTGGAATGTCTTAACAAAGGGACACTGCTCTCATCATGGTATTCGGGAAGCAGAGCAAGAGGGGAGGAGCCAGGGACAATAATACACTCTTTAGCCCCCCTACCTGCCTCTTCTCACCAGGCCCCACCCCCACCGATGAGTACAATGCCTCTATGATATGGTCACCTTCTAAAAGCCTCACCCTGAACACAAGACTTTGGGGGACGTTTTAGCTCTAAACCATAACCGGCCATCTCTCCCACAGAGCCTTTGCTTTCCTTGGTGTTCATTCAGGCTTGTGATCTGGTTACATCTTTTTGAACAATTGCTTCTTTATTACTGGGCTAGGTGATATGGGGCAAAGGTTATAGAAGACTTGCATTTGCCTTAAAATAGCCTGTGATGTATTTCCAAGAGCATTATATCCTGAGAACCTGAGGAGAGATTTTCTCTTTCAGATCCCTTGGTTTGCGGGGGGGAGTCATCTGGTAAGCCAAGGGACAGCTCATGGTCACACAGCTAGTCAGAGTCAAAAGCTGAGGTTGGAGTCTACATTTTACTTCCCTTGAGTCTGTAACTGGTGCATATCCATTATTCTAATTAAGTAGGTAATACCTGGTGTATAAGAAGAGATAAGCAATACTCATAAGACAGTATAAAATAGGTGCCAGATGAGGGAGCCTGACAGTATTGGTGTAAGATTTCTGAGAAAGATCCATCTTACTGGGACTCTTTCCTGGAGGACAGATGATTTGGGGCTGGGCTTGAAGGATGGACAGACTGTGGACTGAGAGGAGAGGGACCATGAAGAGCAGAAGCATGGGGAGCCCAAGACAGGTGGTGTGGTGTTTTTTTGGCTGAAGCAGGACAGGTAGAAGGAGGGGAGGAGGACTGACATTTATTGAACATCTGACTTGGGTCAGGCACGGTATTTGGTGCTTTGCCTATGTCATCCCAGCATCCTGAATGCATGGGGCATGACATCCTGATCCAGTACTTGTTTGAGAACATCACTTTTTTCCCACCCCATTTATGGACTTGGGGACCCATCCTCCTTAGAGTTAAACTTATTAGCACTTTGATCCAAATTATCTGATTTAAAGTGGAGAGGGGGAAAAAAAAGAGGAAGAATTATAGTATTTCTGTAAAGAAAGTCTCATGATGTTTCTACAAAGACAGTCTCAGAGGTAGCTGGTAGTATTTCTTTTACAATTACCCAGGAGCTTAGCTCACACTTAACAGGCAGCTGGCCGGCCTTGGCACTCCTGAGTGACTGGACCATCCCTGAATTATTCAAGGCCTGTGCTCAGTGAGTGGCTGCCTAGCAAAGTCTTGTGGGAAGGACACTGTGCTTATCTCATTAAGAGATCAGCAGAAGCTCAGGTGCTGAGGAGGAAGAAATGACTGCACCATTAAAATATTTCACATGTTCACATGCCAGGGTTGCACATGTTGTTCCATATTCCTGCACCTTGGTCTGTTTTTCAAAGAGCAATAATAACACCTCCAAACCCCCAATTAATAAATACAATAACCCACACTGCCGTGTTAGCATGACATGCTGGCAGAGATTTGGTGGGACACAACATTAGAATTGCACAGATATGATGATAAAGGAACAGAACATTTGTATAGAAGAAACCGCGTTCTGCTGTGATGTTTCATAGCCAAGTAGAGAAATTTAGTTGTTGATCCATTTAAAATGGTACTTACTCTACCATTTAGCATTCTTACTGTCACTGACCTGTCATTAGTTACAAGCCACATACATCTTTGTGTGTGCATCTCCATGTTTCCCATTTCCTCAACTAGGCTGAAAGTGCCTGCAGAAAAGAAAGCACTTCTTACAACCTTTGGGTCCTTCCTGTTGATACAGACTGCTAAGTTAAGTAGAAATATTGTAAATAGTCAGGCTTAGGCCCTTGAGAGTCAGTGCAGATGAGAGCACATCAAAACTGTGGCTGGAGGCATATCCATTGAATGTCAGGCCTCAAGATAAAGATGAACTGGGTATATACCTCTGAGGGATAAATAAAAGCTTGAATACCACCCTGTTGAGATCTGTAAATAAACCATTATCTCAATAAGGTGGGTCATCTTTTCCCACCCACTAAGACTGCTAAGACAAAGACAACACTAAAACTATGGATTGTCTATCAAAGTTAATGCCATCATCCATGTGTGCTTGCTACATGACTTGCTGCCCCAGTGGAGCAATATTTTTTTTTTCAGTACAGGGGATCGAACTCAGGACCTTGCACTTGCCAGGCAGGCCCAAGTGGGGCCCTGTGTTGATGGTGAGGTTTGCACCCCCCACTCCTTTCCTTTCTCCTTACCTTTCCTGGTACCTGCTCAGCTTGCTCTTCTCACCTTTTCTCCCTACAGCTCCTGGAAAAGATAAACTTGGGTGTGAATTTCTGAGGGCATGGTCCAAAAATTTATTTTCACAAAGAATAGGTTTGTATTTCCTCCTTCCCAGGCAATTGTGCTTTCCCTGTGCTTCATCCATATCCTCCTAAAACTTCAGCCCCATGACTTTGACCACCTGTGTGTACCAGTCCCACCTTGCCCCCCCCCCCCGCCCCCGCTCCAAATGCTGTAAGTATTAAGCACATCCAAAAATCACAGGCAAGAGAAGGCCTGGCCCCAGTTGCATTCTTCAGATGCTTCTTTCCTGTAAACCACTCTATGTGAAGTAGAGAAGCCCAGTCCTGGCTCTGGCTGGTATTACATTCATAGGCATAGCAACACCTGTTTGCTAAAGGTGGGGCTCCTGGACTGGGGCGTTCTTTTGCCCATATAGGGAAGCTTTGCCTGGCCAGATAACAGACTTGATAGGATTCAAAAACAAGAATAAGGTTGGGCTAGGGCAGAAGATTCAATTAACTGCATTCCTTTCCAAGGACCTGGGGTGCTTGTTTTGAGTACAGCTTACTATTTTTCTTAGCAGTGATATCAGGTGCTTTGTATTCAGTTCTGATGTGACCAGTTTGACAAGAAACAGGAAGAGGTTATGAATGGAAATTAGGTTTGTCCTGGCATTTAGACTCTGTAACTAGATGATAATGTGTATATGTGTATAGGGAGTAATGTAGAGGGAACGAACCATCCATATCTTCCAAGAAAGAGAGCTAGTATTTTCTATGGATGGAAAAATATCTATAGCTTTCTCTAATCTTTCTTTTCCCCCTAAGACCTGGAGTATCAAATCTCAAGAGCCCACCTCAAAGAAACATTGGCCTTTCTAAAAATATGGGACTTTTATAACTTGTTTCACAGTGCACATTGTGTCTGTGCTATCTCTCAGGCACCACAGCTTTCTAGCTTTGATATTTCTATGCTTTTTCCTGTATGTAATGGGGTGAGTTACAGAGAAGGGGATGAGATGGGTGGTGAATACTTGTCAAGTGAAGCAGTCCTGCCACTTAGAAATATCCTCATCCGGAAATCTAAAGGGCCCTGGCCTGAGGCCAGTATTTCCACATGAACTTTGCAAAATCATCCAGCCAGTGGCCTCTGTGATGAAGTAAGAGATGGCCAAAGGTGGGGTAGAAACTGTTTTTGAAATTACCCCCGTGAGGAGTTTAAAGATTGCTAATCATGGCTTTTAGGATTGTGCTGGGATCTTTGTGGATATTTCTTTCATTTAATTTAATTTAATTTCTTTTATTTAATTTAATTAACTCTATGAGGTTGGTCACCTTACAGTGCCAATTTTGCAGCCACAGAGAAAAATTACAAAGTGGCAGAAACAGCCTCTTATGTCCCAAGTCTGCCTTTAACCACATTTCCTCCTCTGACTGTGCACGTCCATATCCTGATTTAAAGGCTCACGTGACAAGCTCACATGGGTGGTACTCTAAGAGTTAAGTAGAGGGTGCTCTTTCCCCTGGTCTTTGAGGAGTGATGTGGGTTAAAAGGGGAGAGGAAGTGCTGCTGACTGCTTCCAGTGCTCAGGCTGTGGGCCTTAAGTGTCAGGTGCCATTCCCCCTTGATCCAGTCAGCTCTCAAAAGCCCTACCTGTGAGCTCATGAGGCTTTGGGGTGACATCTAGATACAAGCCCTAACAGGCAAGGAGGGAGGCTGTAATTCTGTTTTCTTTTTGGGGCTGTATTCCATGGTGGTATGCTTGGTTGGTTAGTTGAATTTTCTGTTAAGTGGAGAAATTGCCATTGAAGATGAGATGGGCTTTTAACAGAAGATATGGATATGTACTGAGGCAGACTTTGAGGAGAAAGGAACGTGGCAACTAGATAGAGCAAGAGGCTTTTCAGGCATTATTCAATGGAAAGAGAAGAACCACAATCACAGTTAAAAGATTTAAGAATGTAAGAGGTGGTCATGAGGCTGCTAGAGAAGGGAGTGGTAGGGCAGAGAGGTAAGACAAGAAGGAGAAGTGAGATGAGAGAGAAAGACAATATAAACTAATTCCTGTGGCATGTAAGTGCTGTGGCATGATTTGGAATCTACTTCTCTATCCAGCCATGCTAAAGAAAGAGGATTATTTTAGTAGTATTATTTTTTTGTTTCATCAGGAAACACTCAGTAGAAATTGGCTGTGATCATCCAACTGTCTAGTGATTTGACAGTGGTAAAGAATAAGAAGCAGATCTGGAAATTGTAGTGGAAGCAGCAGAGAATTTAGCAAAACAGTTTATATGTGAAACCTTGGTGTTTTGTGTTTTTTTTCTTTTTTCTTTTTATGTCCTTCTCTGTTTCCGCTGCTTCCTTCCGAGCCATGGGTTGCTTTTTCAAGTTCTGGATTTCATTGTATACAAATCCCATCATGTCTTTGCATTTTGGCTGTCTTCTCCTGAACATTTTCATTCTTGATGATATTTGTATCTTCAGGAAATGAAATCCAGAGTTTACACTTTTAATCTTGCTGTGATGCAGAAAAAGTATTCATCTCCCCCTTGGCCCCCAAGGCTCTTAGAACCAACAGAGGTGTTTTCTTAATGTTCTCCCCCTTAATGTTCCCACTCACATCACAGATAGTAAATCCTACAGAATCTTAGTGTATAGGTCTACCATGTATGAGAAGAACAAAACCAAGTAAGACAAAACAAAACCCATTCCCAACAGCAGAACCCTCAAAGTAGAAAGTTTTGTATAAACTAGCAGAGAAGGGCTGGAGATTTAGCTCAGTGGCACTGCACCCCCACCCCCACCCCCCACCCCCGCAAGTGCAAGGTCCTGAATTCGATTCCTGGTACCAAAAAAAAAAGAACTAAACTAGCAGAGAATGTGCCTAACCCTAACTAAATGATGTATAGGCTTATGTGGAGACTTACTTGGGTCTTAGTTTTTCTTTTTCTTTTTTTTTTTTTTAAATAGCACAACATTTATTGGTATATTTTAGGGTGGTTTATCTTGATACCACTTAGTTTCATAGTTTTTCTAAAAGCTTAGGTATCCTTAGTAAAGTAGACATGCTGTAAACACATGAGAGATAGGAGAGAAGTGGAGGAAGCCCGGGACTTGGTTGACTGTGCTTCTCACCAGCTGGGAAGACCTAGGCAAGGAAAGCACTGACTCAGCTCTCCTTGACCCTCAGTTGCCTTGTTTATAAAATGGAGATTCTCTGTCATAGGATTAGTCGCTGGAGAAAAGATACGTGAAAGCATGGATGATGATGTTATGGTTTTTATGGCCATTCAGTTTATGTGGGGACTGATGATAACTGGGACTATGATTAAAACTGGGACCCAAGCAGGGGGCACCCACATCACTAATAAATACATTTAGAACCAGAAGGAATTGTTAATGGTTAATAGATTCCAGCCTGTTTATCAATACTGACAATTGAGCCCATCACCTTAAAAAAAACCTTTTTTTTTTTTTAAGATAGGGCCTTGCTAAGTCTTTAAGTTGCCCAGGCTGGGTTCAAACTTGTGATCCTTCTGCCTCATCCTCCCAGAGTGCTGGGATTACAGGGGCACACCACTGTGGCTGGCTCCCACTTGTTTAATTTATAGACAGATTGTGCATCCCAGGGATAGTTAGAAACACATGCTCAAGAGTATGTGTCTTCTTGGTGGCACTTATAAGTTAGGGTAAGCCTAAGTACCTGACACTGGACTTGGGTCCTTCTGCTGCCCTAAAGTACTTGTACCACAGGGAACTAGTTCTACCTTTCTGCCATCACAAGTATGGAAGATACTTGAGCTTCTGTTCCTTTGCTCCTCTGTCTGCTGTGCCAGTCAGTTGTGGCTGTCTTTCACACCCTGAAATCTTGATGCAGTTTGAAGCCAGGCACAATCAATTATTAGAGTTGGCCTGCTTGCTGGGTGAGAGAGAAATTTCTTAGATTAAGTTGAAATTAGTAGGATCTTTTTCTGCAGAAAGTTTGACTAATTATTAAGCATTCCAAAAATTGGCTTTTCCCTCCTTAATGTTTCCATTCAGGTACCACGTTTCTGCATAGGTTTCTTCTTATAAGGTCACTGTTTAAAAAACTGTAGAAAAATCCCTGGCCTCTTAATTTATTAAGGTAGAATTAGCTCCTTCAGATAAGCTTGAGACATTTCTAGCTAAATGGATGTACCTTGATACCATACTCTTAAGTGAAATAAAGTGGACACACATGTTTAAATACCACATGTTTCTCTGGTGTGGGAAACCGAAAGTGGAAATAAGGACCAAAATGTGTAATATATATTGGGAAATGGGAAGAAAATGTTCAGATGAGGAAGAGAACAAGGGGAAGAGGGGAGGAAGGAAAGGACAAGATCTGCTGCCTGCCTTGCAAGTGCAAGGTCCCAAGTTCTATCTCTGGTACCAAACAAAACAGAAGAAAGGACAAGAACAAAAGAGAATAGAAGGAAAAAAAAATGGAAACAAACCTTTTGTAAATGAGGGGAAAGAGGGGTTGCAGGGAGGTAAGCGGGAACTGGGAAAAATAGAAGGAAGATATAACATGTACGGGTACAAATTCCTTATGATGCATATTATTATGTATATCCAAAATGTACCAATAAATAAAAAGATTGAGTCAAAGGAAAAAAAGGAATTAGCTCCTCCTTTCTTCTTCACATACCTTTAGCCTTTTCCCTGCCTCTGATGTTAAATGTGCCTCTACCTCTTTTTGCTGAAGGCTGACTGCTCCACCTACACCTTTGAGTCACTTTCCCATGGGCTTTTTCCTCCCTGTACCAACTCAGGATTGAAACTTGTGCAAAGAGGGCCTACTCCATTGGGCAGTGCCCCCAAACTCTTCCCCCCTTGTGTTGTAATCTCCATTCACTAGTATTCATCACCTCTTCTCCCTTATTCTCTAGTTTCTCATAACCTGGCTTTTGTCTTTATTAACCATTTGACTTCCTCTTCTGCACTCTGGCTTTTTCTCTGACTGACTTTCTTGTCTTTTTTGCAGCATGTGATACCAGCTACCCTCTTTGAGTTATCTCTCTTCCCTATTGGCTTCCCATTCTGTAACCATTCTGTAACTCCAGTGGGGTCTCTACTGGTTTTTCTTCTTCCTCCTAAACCTAAGTCTTTTCCAGGTCTGTGCTCAGCCTCTTGTATTGTTATTCTCTTCCTAGGTTTAACCCCACTGCTTCCCCACTCCCTTCCTCCTCTGTATACATGACCTTTGAGCTCTAGTTCCCCATCTATGACTGCTCTGGATATGTCAACTTGTGTGTTGCAAGTGACTCAGATTTGGCCTGTCTAGAATGAAATATTGAATCCTTCCCCGTTCCTCCCCATTCCCCCTCCCAGCTCTAAAGCCCAGTCTTTTTTGAGCCTATCCTTTGAACTCCTCACATATATGTTGGTTATCAAAATCCAATCTTAAATCCACAGCCCATACCTTTTCATTCCTGTATTCCTATTGCACCACACCCTGATCGGTCCTTTGACCAGTTAGTTACAAGTGTGGTAACTACCCAATTGACCTTGCTGCCTTCAGATTTTCTTTCTTTTTTTCCTACTGGATTAATCATCCCTAGAGCCCAGCCCAGACCCTAGACTCCTCTAGATCAAAAGTCTCCACCAGTTCCTGACCCATGCTTAGTTCTAACCTGCTTTTTGTTGCTTCCTTCCTAGCCTGGCAATTCTTTTTTTGTTTGTTTGTTTGTTTTGGGTTTTTTGGCGGTACCAGGGATCGAACTCAGGGCCTTGTGCTTGCAAGGCAGGCAACAGCACCACTGAGCTAAATTCCCAGCCCCTAGCCTGGCAATTCTTTATCCTTCAGCCAAACTCTGAAGCACTTGCCAATCCTCTTCCTCAGGTAGTTAGGTGAGCAGCCTTTTCTCTCTAACCAGCCCGTTGACTGTCTACCTGTGTTTTAAGGCCAGGCCAAAATGCCAGTCTCTCCTGAAGTTCTTCTTGCCTGCCTTTATAGGCACATGTGACCTCTTTGTCCTCTGAAATCTTCTCATATTCTTTTGATTTTTGACTGTTTACATGTAATTTCTCCCATCACCTCTGGCTAACAATGCTCCCAGTCATCTTTGACTCCTCCAAAACACTCAGTAGTATGCCTTGAACACATTAACGTGTTAATGGTTAATGTTAATGAGGCCATAATTCATATGTCTTGCTGCTGGATGGCTCTGGTCCACCAGTGATACATGCATGACTGTCCCATTGGGTGACACAGGACAGTTCCGTAGGATGGTACAAGCTGCCTGATGGGACAGTCATGTGTGTACCATTGATGGTTCAAGCCAGCAGGATCATGTTAAATGCTATAAATACAACCCAGTAAACACTGAAGAAATAAAGAATGAATGCCTCTGGCCTTCCTTCATCACCTCCTTACTGCTCAGTTGAAGGTGGTCACATGAGGGTTGTGTCCCATTCTTCCCTGACCCCATCATACTAAATGGATTCCCATTTTTTACCTCCTGTCCCTATGGGGTTATCAAACCTTTTCTCAGCCTTATTACCTTTCTTTGTAATACTGGCATGTGTTCACCCTGCCTCATTTGTGCAATTTCAGCTTTTTTAGTCTCAGCCTCTACCCTCACACTGTATGCAATCTGGCTAATCAGAAATCTTATTTCATGCACTTCCCCATACCAGAGGAGGCTGAAAGGGAGATACTGAGTGGTGACTCATACTCTATTCACTTAGTGGCTTAAAGATTAAAAATAAAATGTTATGAATTGGCAAAGCATTTTGTAATCTTATTTTCTGTGCTATAGATGAACCTATAAGAGACTGATCACTTTACCAGTATATTTAATAGTGAAGCAAGGCCTGTTAAAAAAGATCTTCAGTGAGACAGTTCCCCATTCTATTTCTCTTTGTAGTCTTGATGTGCTTGGAGTTGTGGTGGGTACAAGAAGGGGTGTGCTTTGGAAAAACAGACTCCTACTTTCAAAGATTTTGAAAAATTTTAGGCCATTTTTACATATTGTACAGATAGACATTAATTATTATTCAATCTGACAGCTGAGGTTTAGAAAGAATTTAGGGTTTCTTCTGAGGTTATGGGATAATTAGGAGGTTTGGCCAGGATTAGAAATTTAGGTCTTGAAAGCCAGATGTGTTGGCACATACCTTTAATACCAGCACTCAGGAGGCTGAGGCAGGAGAATAACAGCAAGTTTGAGGCTAGCCTGGACACACAGCAAGACCCTATCTAGAAGAAAGAAAAAAGAAAGATCCTAGTCAAATGCTTCTAAAACCAGGTTTTCTACTTTCCTGCCTGGTGTCCCATCAGCATTGTGCATTTGCAGAGGAAAGTTTTAGAATGTGTTCTTCATCTTGGATGAGGAGAGAGATACAAAGTACTGCCCTGATTGGGCCTGTCCAAAAACCAAAGATTGACCCTGTGAATGTATTAAAAACCCCGTTAGAAGAAGTAGTAGGGGTTGTTCAAAGTTGAGCAGTTAGCTACTTAGACCCTGAGCTCAACTCTGGAGTTAGACAGGATGCAGCCCTTTGAATTACCAGTGCCTCCTCACTAAATGGAACCTGGGGCTGGGGGCCCACATCTTCAGTGCAGATTGGAATCCTTCAGTGAGTACTACTGCGGGCCTCCAAGTTGGAAGCATCAGATTTGTAATTTGTTTTCTGCCAGCATTAGCGAGTGAGGAAAAAAGGAGGAAGGGGACAGGACTAGAGTTATTTATTTCCCAAGGGTACGTTTTGATCATGTTATTTTCAAACTTTGTTTCAGATGGATGGGAGAAGCAACTGGGGAGGAGAGTTTTAAAATGTTGGTGAACCCAAAGCTTAGAGGCTCCATTTAAATCAAAGTAGGAACTGAGGGTAATTTGTGTTCTTATCTCCTCACAGGATCAGAAAGTCCTCGGGGTCAGGGATCCCGGTCGTGTTTACCTGTATACCTTTCTCCCACAATGCCTTGCAACTCACCACTCCCATAAATCTTCCTTGCATGGAATTACTGTTGTGAGGCCAATGTTATCTCAAAACATCTCTGGTTTAACCTCCCCCAGGGCAGCATGTCTGCCAGGAAGATTCTCCCGTGGGCCTGAGCGCACACTTCCCTTCGCTGCGGCCCCGCACCCTGACTTTGTTTTACTTTTCCAGTGGTGCCTCGTGGTCAGCGCCCGGCCCTGGCCGCGGTACTCAGGTGCGCACCCTCGTCCTCTCCACGCCTGCTCCAAAGGGAGGGCGCGGGGCTGTGGACTCGTAGACCCGCCGGGCTGTCGCTGTCCTCCCGGCGGGCGTGGGCTCCTTTTCAAGTGATAGTAATGAGAGACTTTTCCGTTAAGTGAGGTCCTCAACCAAAGATTCTAATTCCAGCAGCTCTGTTTGAGAAGGCCGCCCCACAGCCCTGCATCTGGGCCGGGCCAGGCCGGACCGGACCACAGTGGGCTACACTGGCAGGGCTTGGGCCATCGGCTTCCCCCCGCCCGTCCTCGTGGTACAGCCTGCGTTTCCTCCACAATGCTGTTATGCTAATCAGGTGACATCACCACCCAGCACACGGCGAGTGGCTCCTGATTAAATTACAAACCGGCGGCTGCCGGGAGGAGGTGTGCATGCTGCTCCTGTGCTCAGTGGCTGTGGCACGTTTAAGGATTGGCCATATTTAAAACATTTTGAAGTAGGACTTGTGGTCCCTCCTCCTCTCTTCCTCCTTGGTAGTTTATTTCAAGCTTCTAAGCAAGAGCCACAGAAGGAAGGGAGAGCCACAAGGAATTAGATGCTTGAGTGGTGATTCCTCGCCAGCCTAAGGTGGATTCTGCAGCCAGCTTCTCTCAGGTCACTGCGCCCATTTCTGAACCGAACGCTGCTTTCTTGAGGTCCAGCCCTTTTCTCTGGGGCAGGGAGCCAAGGTGCGCAGGAGCTGCTGCGTGTTGGATG